GAGCGGAAATAAATATGAGCAAACGGCATAGCTCACCTGTTTAGTGATTTGAAGATATTCGGTGCGAGCAAATGTGTGATGTGGATCGTCTGGATCGTCATGCAGACGCAGAAGTAGTTCTCGAGCTTCATCGGCTCTTCCATGGAGAACAAGCCAACGGGCTGCACATAATGATGTTAGTGATATTGTGTCAAATCCATTTTTCAATCTGCAATTGAACACTTACGACTCTCAGGACACCAATACAGGCCTAGCAGTAGGCAAAGGGGGAAGAAGCATTGAATGGCGAAAGGGATCCTCCATGTTGCAGAACCACCGTCCTCCCAGTGAAAGATTCCAAATCCAAGCCAAGAAGCACACATATACCCGATAACGAGAACCACAGCATGAAGCTGTACAAGTGCACCTCGTAGATATGGTGGAACAACCTCAGCCATCCAGATAGGGACAGCGGCCAGGATCATAAAAGCTCCTGCGCCGGCAAAGAAACGAAATACAAGAAACATGGCCATGTTCACACTGCCAGCCAGAACAGCTCCAGATACCAGGCATAGCATAGCGCTCTGAGTTGCATCTTGTTAGAGACCAGACTTGATGTAAGATATGAACGACGAAGGGAGAGGGAGTAACTGACAATAGCTAATCCACCTTTTCTGCCAAGCCTATCGCTAAACAGTGGCAGAGTAAGAGTTCCGATCACACCTCCTGTTTGGAAGATTCCATTGGTAGCAGATAGAAGAGCAGTTGCATCCGGACGGGTGTCGAGATCAAAGGAGGTGATAAAAGTTGGCTGCGCTGAAAATGGAAATCAGCAATTCGACTTGCTATGGGCTATGTGCAGAGACCCACCGAGAGTGGCACTGATGACATTTGCAGTGTAACCATAGCAAAGGGAGCCGATGGATACAAATAGGATCATCCATGCGTTGTAAGCATTGAGCCGCTTTCGAGAATGGCCAGCGAACTCGCCGCTGGACCAGAGGAATTTTGTTAGACTAAAACCCATCGTACAGTTCAATATACAGTGGGAAAGACAGGAAGCGAAGCACCTTGACTCCTTGAATATGAATGGATCTAAGCACAGTTTATATCTCTTCATGCTTTGGCCCATATAGAGTTGCTGGATAACCTCGGTGCAGAACAAGCATCGAATAAGCTTTCTCTAACAAAGCTTGTTGTGGATCATCATTACTGCATACACCCCCGAGCCGTACCCCAGATCATTGGTGAGTTTACTCTTCCGAGGTCAATCTCCGCAGTCGAACCATACTTTGATCCTGGTAAAAGGGTAAATGATTGGTGCGAGTCATTCAAAGTTGAGTCAGAAGCACTTCTGAGTGGAGGGCAATTCCTGACTCGTTACAGAGGATCGTAAGACAAGAGAGTACCTCGGTGTCGATATTTTGTCGTTCCAAGTTTCTGGCAGCACTGACTCGTTACTAAATGTCGTAAGAATTGCAGATGTTACCGGGTCGAGCCGTATTCAGCAGCACTGACTCGCCAAGATGTCTTCGTATTGTGGCGCTCGAGACCGATGTAGTCCTTAATCTTGATTGGAGCGTCTGTCGTTCTGGCTGATTATACCGTCTTGGTCGGTGGGTTGTCTATTGAGATAGCGTGTTATTGCTTGACGAGTGTCAGTAAAGTTGTGATGGTGAGGCTACCTCTGTCAGTACGAGCCCCTGACTTTCCCCACGAATTTGCGGCAGTAAAATGGGTGACTGTGATACGTTACTTGTGGACCAATTAAGGGTGATGTCTTCTTCTCTAGAGGAATACACGGTTGGTGAGATGTGGCTCCCATGTTTTTGAAGCAATATACTTAGGAACATTCTGTGAATGGGGAACATTGTTGCAGCAGTAAGTTTTGGTTCCATGATGCTTCCCACATTCCCGTGCATAGATCGACATAAAGTAGAAACCTTTATAAATATATATACCTACATAGGTACACATATAAATATTTTGGGGGCTATAGCACGACTGAAACTAACCGACTTCGACTCCCCTTCTCGTTAGCCCCAACACCGCTTTATGTTAGCTACTTTAGGGCTCGATGTTGCCTCAAGATTGCATAGCGCAATGGAAAGAGAGTCTGACGATCTAACTTTTCGTTTGGAAGACTATCTACACCTTATTTTGTGCCTCCCATTCGGCAGTAGTCATGACATAGACTCCAAAAGCGTCCAGTTCCGCAATGGCCCTATCCTTTGTTTCTTGAGTTGTAGATTCGGTAGCATCGGATAGCAGAGTGACGTTGTACCCTAATTTGATACCGTCCATTGATGTACCACGCACGCAAGCATTGGTCACAAGTCCGCCAAGAACAATATTGTCGATTTTGTGAGCGCGTAATTCGTCGTTCAGCGTTGTGAATCGGTAGTGTTGGTTCTGTGTCTTCCCGTCAGTTTGGTTCCACCTACAGTATGATCCCACAGCTTTGCGGCAACTTACATCAGCAAAAGCGCTGTACGAATCTACAGTGTGGTTTTGGGCTTTCTTGATGTAGTTGACACTGGTAAAGTATCCTTCGAGCGTGTGAAGACGGGACTGAAGGCCTTCCTCAATTTCGGCGCCCCATGTGCCGGGCACGCAATGGTCTCTGCTCAAACTTTGGTTTTGGAAATCCCGCGTCGGCTCTGTAACGAAGGGTACCAAAGCCCTCTGCCCTGGAGATGCATTTTCGTGAGAAGATGCAAAACTGACGTGTCCAATTGGATGCCAATCTGTAATGGAAGCACATCAAGTTAGAACCAGGACAGTAGGCACACAGCAAAGGGGCCAGCTCTACCTTGCGATGCAATGATCAATGGCCATTCATGCTCGTCAAGAAGCTTGTATATTTGAGGCAAGATGGCAGGTGCACGGCTGTTGTTGAGAGATCCGGTGATGAAGTCATTCTGCACATCAACAATGATGAAGGCAGTGTTGCGGTGAAGATGACGTGAAAACTATACAATTTTCATCAGCACAAGCAGTGACTATATAGGTGGAGAGTGAAGCTAGCTCTCGAAAGAATAGACATACCGGAACAGCGCTTGCGCCAGTCAGAAGAGCAGCAAGGGCGCAGGTAATCCCATGATTGAACTTCATTGTCGCGGAAGATAGACTGATCGATTGAAGTGTCTGCTTTGGGGGGGGAGACAGGATGGGCAGGAGTGGAAAACTTGTCCAGAGAATCTCAAGACGAATACCAAAGAAGACTGGGCTCGCTCGAGAATTTTACTCGGCTTTATAGGTAGCCCAGGTCCCATTGACTCTTCAAGATACCGCCAGTATAGTAGGCCTCCGGTAGATGCTAACGATCGCGAAGTGGACATCGGGGATAAACGAAGTTCGTGACCAGCACCTGCTAACTCCATGAGGCCAATATTGCCTCCGAAACTGGGGCCATTGGTGGAGTATGTCCTCATGGACCGTCGCTTAGAGTCCCAGAAGGACGGTTCGAAATGTCTCTCATACCAAGACTGTTATCGGGGATGCCGCAATATCCTCTATACTGTGGGTAGACGCAACATTTGTGGGGCGTAGCAGCAATTCTGAGGAAGTGGGCGCTGTTCTCGGAACCCAGGCTTCGACTTGTTAGGACGGCGAAGGCTTCGGGGCCAAGATCGTTATCAGTGGACTTGCGCGCACGGAGCGGGAGCTAGGTGCGAAGGCATCCACTCCAGGCCGTCGAGATTCCATTATCAGATGATGTCACCTACAAAGTACGGCTCGACATTCGATACGGTCGTAGTATATTAGGTCTTATCTTAGGCTGATCACAGGACAGAATTATACATAGTAGCGATAGCACGTCGTACGCATTTATAGCTACCACGTGCAATGCCGAGAATCTGGAGATATGCACGTCATTGTCACGCTTATCCGTTGCATGATAGACGGAGTACTGCGGTGCGTTTGGCGGAGGGAGAAACCAAGGCGGGTGTACAACAGTTACTTTGCCACACGCTTTGCTTTATATGTGTTCTGGATAGATCGCCATGGTGAGGTGCGTAGAGCTTCTTGGTCAACCTGCCAACCCAGCTACCTAGAGTTGATCGATCGGACCCAAAATGTCTCTGGCCCCTTTTGCCTCGTCCTATCCGAACACTCATTGAATTAGGAATCGTATATCAGAAAATTCACTCACGCAGCGAGGGCAGGTCTTGTGCATGACCAATCTTTCCGCTTTGTGCGGTATCACACCTCCCTTTCCTCTCCTTCTACATGGCCTTGGCACCGGTAAAGTATAGCGGGCGCATTTAATGACGGTAGTGCCCAGGATCGAGACTGACAGAGGAGGGTGAGGACGGTTCGCAGGCGACTGAGCAGGCTAAGGAACAAGGCTGAGGCTGATGCTAGGCCGAAGTTAAGCCAGGTCACATGATACCTATGTAAAGCGGCATATACTGTAGATGTCCCAAACGGGTACCAAGAAAAGAAACTATATGGCCGCTGAATACTAATATACTCAGCGCTGGATCTTAACTTCTCTAAAGTCCATTCCCGACTCGAGACCTAAGTATCCCGCTACTTAACGAGAGTCGTGGCTAAGTTATTCTGAGCCATTTCTCAAACTCGAGTGAAAGAGCCCAGCCATATAGATAGTGAACTGTTTTATTTACTGTTGTTGGAACTCTCTCGATTCAGATCTTTTACTGGATCAACTCTTCTCGACCTCAGATGTATCTCAATCTCTTGGTTTGATTATAAATCGAACAAGGAATTGTTTCTGACTGCCGTTCGCATTACAAATTGAAATCCTCATGATCCAAATCCAGGCTCTCAACGCCAAGAGTCACAAAATCTCATCCATCACTGGAGAAAGAAATGCAGATTTGGCCAAAGACGCAAGATGCATAAAATGACCTACGTACTCGTTCACGTACTCGTGTACATACCAATGAATGTGTCCATGTATACGAATGAAACATGGGGAATGCGGCTAGTCAGTGTCATCCCATTTTCCGATTGCAGACCCACAATATACCGATTCAAGGATGCACAATACCGATCGGGGACCAAATACGGGGCCAGGTTTCGCAGTGGCCTCGAATGAAGATTGCTCTAGAAGATGATGGATTGATGCAGTGTCGGACATGTAGATTGTCCATCGTATTTAAGAGGTACACATCGTTTGTTCGAGGGCAGAACTTGGAAGACACCCGCTAGAGACCTTTCTCCCAAAGTCTTGTCTCACACCCCATCTCGCAACATATCTCATTGCCTTAAGTTGAGTCAAGATGTCCACTGACAGCGCACTTCCGTCGAATCTACCGGATCCAACTATTCATATCACAAGTCATGACTCGGATAGTCACGCCAAAGTGCACTCCTCATCGCGTAACAAATGGACATGGTACCAAGACATGGGAGTTGGCTTCAACGTGGTCTACACCACCTCAACCTTTCCTCCTTTGATGAATGATGAAGTCGATATCAAGTCCCATGAAGCCGTTATAGCTTCTGGGGAACTTGGACTTGTAAGGAAGAACGGGACTGTTTGTCGCATAGTGGATTTCGGCCCAGCATCTAAGCCACACATGCACCGAACTCAGAGTCTCGACTATGGGGTTGTGCTGTTTGGAGAAATCATAATGGAACTCGACGACGGTAGCGTCACCCATTTGAAGCAGGGTGACGTTGCTGTGCAGAGGGGAACAAACCATGCGTGGCGAAACCCGAGCACGACAGCTTGGTCGAGGATGCTTTTTGTATTGCAAGATAGCCAGCCTTTGATCGTGAATGGTCAAAGGTTGCGAGAAGAGATAGGTTCCGCGATCAAGCATATTCCCAACAGTGGAAACGATGTATGATGGGCTGTTCCAGATATTGAGAAATGGCAACGTCGTATACAAGCATCTACTCGACATGCAGAATTCGGCAGTTTTCGAATCCGGCTATGGTTTCATGAAGTCCTTTCAGGGGCCTGAGTAGTATCTGTTTCCAAACCATGAGTAATAGGGTGACGTCTTGTGAGATATGACTAGAACATATGACCCCAGATGCTGGTCTGCTAGTTGAATTGGGTATTTGTAAACAGATACCAGTGATTCTGACGGAAGTGCGGCGTAAGCCCTGAAGAGCGCCCCTCCCTGAAGATGAGTTATTTCAGTGCGTCTGGGTTGGAGGTTCGTAGAATCGGCTTTATCAGCCTTGTCGATATGCTGTTCTGTTTTTATTTGCAGGCGGCCGCCCGGTGAAGGTCTTCTCAAAGCTTTCTCCACTTGCCACCGAGCGTGGGAATGGCCGGTCATGAACCAGGCCAAATCGCACTGTTGATTGAGAGGGGAGAGGCGCGTGACATATAGTCACCATCTCGGTTGGTGACGAAGGTCGCGAGCAGTGAGAGAAGGATGCAGAGATTGCCGAATCGTGGCAAAATGTTGCATCAATCTCGTTGATCGATCGAGATACCGCGATGCAAAGCATCGTGGATGAAGTAAATGGCAGATTATCGCTTCGTTTCGTACAGGGGGTGCAGGGCAATGTTGGTGCCATCGTGAAGCAGTTTCAAACCGCAGATAGATCTTTTTCCAGCGCCTCGCGATGAGGGTCCAAACCATCAATCATGGCCTCCAGTTTCTCATCCATCTTCTTCAACTCGTCTTTCTTTCTAGTGTTTTCTTTGACCAAGGCATCTTTGACTTTGACCAACTCTAGTCTTTGTTGCTCCATCTTTTCGCGTTCTTGCTTTTCATGCTCAATTCTCAACGGCATCAACTCTTGCTCCGAGAGGTCGGATTGATCGGGAAACAACTCTAGGTATTCATCAACCGGCAGGAGAGGGAGATGGGTGTAAGCATGGCTGTGACTGTGTTAGCATGATCTAGAGGGAGATGTGAACTCGGACGACTCACTCGTAGCCATCACATGCACCGATCTCTCCCATAAGATGTCTCTGCTCATAGTACAAATTCTGTAGTTGTAATAACAGTCGATCCACTTCTTGTCTTGCTTCGGCGGTCTCTTGCTTGGTGGTCCTAGCACCGAATGCTGCACGACGACTCAGGCCGCGCAGTTTTGCCAGGTATGCGCTTAGGACCTTTTGTCGTTCGGCGAGTTCGGCTTTTGCATCAGGCGAGTGCTGAAGGTTGTCAGGCTGGTCTTGCAGCCAGGCGAGCGCCGAGACTGTTTGAGCTAATGTTGCGTGGGATGTTCTCAGAAGCGGTTGAAGGGTTGGGTCGGTGATGAGATCGTCGACCGCCATAGTGTATGCTCGCGACTTTGGATAAAGGAAAGGAGAAGAAGAGCGAGTGAATTGGTTTGTTGGACGTTGGGAAAAAGGTGGAATCAGGGAAACCTTTCAAGAACCTGGGGAAGGAACGCTGTCTGTGTCGCTGGTCGCACTTGCGAAAGTCACCTGCAAACAGGAACACAAGGACGACAAGGAAGGCGTGACCGAAACCCGCAACTCGCCAATCGGAGATCGTTCTCTCCGCAGAGTGGATTCCCGCCCTTCGAAATTATTACTCCGTAGCGAAGTGTAACATGTCATTATTTGACGACTTCTAACTTTCTGCTCATAGCGACATACTCACCACTATGCAGGAGACAGCTTTGAAAATTTGGAGAGATCCCATATAGACAGCCATTCTCTGATTCCAGAAACCTACTCCCACGTCCACACAGAGAGACTCGACCCAGTCACTATGAGCAGCTCATCAGCCTCAGCCAACTCAAACATGAAAGTCACCGTCAACCCCAGTCGAGCCGCACAGCTCGTTGAGAACCTGTCTTCAGTCACCAAACGCATCTCCAAGACCCTAGAATCATCCAATTCCTCCTCCTCTACATCAACCACATCTCTATCTCCACGCCTCGTTGCAGTCTCCAAACTGAAACCCGCAAGCGATATTCTTGCTCTCCACAACCCACCCACCTCCCATCTCCATTTCGGCGAGAATTACGTACAAGAACTCCTGGAGAAGAGTCGCGTCCTTCCTCACACGGTCCGATGGCATTTCATTGGAGGCCTGCAGAGTAACAAAGCCGCACAGCTCGCGCGAGAAGTCCAGAGTCTATGGGCAGTAGAAAGCGTTGACAGTTTGAAGAAGGCTAGTCTCTTGGAAAAGGGGAGAAAAGAGCGAACCGAGAAATTAAAAGAGACCGGCAATCAAGATCTAGCGGACGAACCGCTGCGTATATTTATTCAGGTCAACACGTCAGGAGAAGACTCAAAATCTGGCGTCAACCCCACATCACCCGAACTGCTCGAAATCGCTCGTCATGTTCGTGATGCATGTCCTCATCTACAGCTCCAAGGCTTGATGACGATCGGCGCCATTGCGAGATCTCAAGCCACGACGGAGGAGAATGAAAATGAAGACTTCATCTCTCTACGGGAGAGTCGAGACTGGTTGGCCAAGGAATTGCAAATCGAAGCCAATGAACTCGATTTGAGCATGGGGATGAGTGAGGACTTTGAAGGCGCAGTGCGTCAAGGCAGCAGTGAGGTCCGAATAGGAAGTACAATCTTTGGCCAACGTCCAGCCAAGAAGGATGCCAAAGTACTGGAACAAGCCGAGGATGGGAGCGAATGAAGTAAACTTCTGTCCCGGGAATCCTTCTTGACTCGCAGTTGCGTCAAGAACCAACCGTCTGTCACCGTGGAATCTCACTTTCCTGGCTAAAGGTATGTTATGTTCATGACAAAGCTAAAAAGACATTATGTTCCAACGCCAGTCATCCATCCAGCCCTGCGGGACGGCGGTCAAAGAAAATATGTGCTACGTTAAGTTGGCTAAATCCGAGAGAAAGCGAAGTCCCCAAACACTTTTGCCTGGCAGCACTTGGTACTGCAATATACGTACTCGTGTCGTATCGAGGCTGTGGTTCACATGCACCCCATGAACCGGCGGCTCAAAGTGCTTCTGCCACACGGGGATGTTGAGGACGCGACATTCGCTTCACGTCGACTGTGGGCCAAGAGTCTCTGCGCAGGCCAGCCGTGTCCGGCGACTTACTATACATGAGAACTTGGGCTTTTTCGACCTCGCCGTCTGGTTCTTGATCCCCATCAAGAGGTCCGTTCTATGAACCTTTGGCAAGCCGCTCCTGCATCATCGGCAGCAGGATCCCTGGCACAGTCTCCTGAGTAGCACGGATCGTCAAGCGATACATCTACCATACCAAATGTCAGCAATCAAAGCCACACGAACTTGAAGAATTTAAACAACCAGGGGCATCATTCGGGGCGCGGGGAATGTAACGCTTACCTTCTGGGCCATATTTGGTTCCAACCTCAATAAACAACCAGTCTTGCCCTTTTCAAGTTGCAATACTGCACAACCCACAATGTTCTTCGCATTTGGGTCGACATTTTCCAAAATCTTCCATCGGAACCCAGTAACAATCTCTCGCATGAATTTCTCATTGATCTCTGCACTGGGCGATCGGAGGCCAAACGTGCTTTGCGCTTCCATGGCTCCAGCACCAATCTGGCGCCACCGCTTGAAGAAATCTTCGGCCGACAAGTCGGATGGGTCCATGAAACGATGCTGTAGAATGGGGAGTTTCAGGGTGTAAGCCTGCAAGGCACCGGCGAGGTAGGAGATGCGGATAGTGGGGGCATCGGAAAAGGGGCCTATCGATGTACAAACAATGGTCTGTTGTGTTTGCGATTCAGGATTGACAGAGGACTCGGGTAGAGACTTGGTGTCAATTTTCAAGGCAGCTGATGATTTGTTGTCAAGAGTGGTGGTGAAGGAGCCAATGGGAAAAGCGGCTTTGTTGGTGAAGTACAGTTTCACCACGCCGAGATGGCCACGGTATTCAGCCCGTATTCCGACCTGGATCTGAGGGTCCTCGAACAAGACCCCCTCGTTGGCAAAATACAATTGTTCATACCCAATATCCCAGTCAGGAGAAAGATGTGTAGCTGTGGCGAGGTTCTTGGCCGAATCCTCACTATGACCATTCATGTCCAAGCCGACCAGGTCCTTGGTTGCAGACCCGTTCGTCTTGGTGCTCGTTTTGGCCGAAGTCCCGTTTCCATTTGCGTTGGGGGCCCCTTGAGTGCCATTGACAATGGTGGTAAAGGTCCGCTTCAAGCCTGTCTGCTGGGCCAGAAGGATCTCTTGCTTGTCGTTGTTTGCGTCCTTGCCTCCAACCACCCATGTTCTGCGTTCGCTCGTGCCGACCGACTTTTGATGGAGTCGCTGGAGCAAAACGGAGGCGCGCTCGGAGAAGGGAGGCATCTCATCACAAATGGTCCGTAGTAAATCGTCGGTGGGGAGCGTAGCAATGGTGAGATATTCACAGGCCCTCTGTTGCAGTTCCGAGTCGGGCGAATGACTGTAGAACTCGAACATCTGTAACAGCTGTGGCTTGATTTCTGGAAACAGGTTGACAAATTTGACAAACGTAGACAACATGATTGCCCGCGTAGTGTCAGGAGCCGAGATCATTTTCGTCTGCAACGCCATCAACTGCTCAATAGGGCTACACCCATTGTTATCGGCAATCAGGTGTCCGAACTCTCCCAAGATATAACCGGCAATCTTAACCAGGGTATCATGGCAGTTGTCAGCCTTGATGTACTCAAAGATGTGCTGTGAAGCATACGATTGCAACTCCTCGTTGTTGGTGACAATCTGGACGACACGTTGCCAAACTTCGTCGCTGACGTGATCTCCAGCCATGGCGAGCAGGCGAAGGGTAATGTCGATGTACCATTGGGCATCTGTAGCGTATTTCTCCGTTAGAATAGCAATCTTGAGCGTCATTTCTTCCCGCAAGGAATAGTCTGCCTGATTCAGATAACGTAATAGTTCATTCACGATTGGCCGAGCGTTAGTCGTATCGCACATGCTGTAGAGCAAATCCAATCCCTTTCGCCTGACGCTGATATCTCTGTCGCGCAGGGAGCCAATAATGATGCTCTGGTGTCTCTTGATGGGCTCGAGGCTGTCAGAGCGAGCGGCAAAATGCGCCATGGCGTCCAGGCCGAGATATCGAACGTTGGTTTCTCGCGAGGTGATGAATTTTCCTAGCTTGGTGGGAACCTGGCCTAGGAGACCAGCTTCATTGCCAAGGTGAATGACGAGGTTGATGGCTTCAAACAGAACCGCGTTCTGGGCGTTGTTCTGTTGGACATTCTTGGGCGTCTCATTGGCGGCATTCAAGATAGCCTGGAGAGATCCACGGATGAGATCTCGGACATGGGTGTCTTCTGAGGCAGGGTAATATTGCAGCAGCTTCAAGAACTTGACTTGAATCCACGGGCAAGGCACTTTGTAGTAAAAGTAATCGGGAGAGATATCGTTGTCGATGATGACCCTCTTCAGTCGCTGTGCAGCCTTGACGTAGCTACCTTTGTAGGCATCTGGATTGTCCTGAACCAGTGCCATGATCAGGGAAGTGACGGACAGGACGACACCCATGTCATGATCATCCATTAAAGAAATGATTCTTTCGGCCCATTCCGGTTGGATGATGCCTGGGAACTTTCGGTAGAGTCGGAGGAGGGTCAGGGCTGCCTTCTTCTTGACAAAGGATTTGGAAGTGGGAGATATGAGGAGACGGTGGACGTCGACGGAGAGGGCCTCACCCATCTCGCGGCCACCGACATTGGCCACGGCATGGAGGGCCAGACAGTTGTTCAACTCGTTGTGGTCCGCGAGGTCTTTGCGTATGCTGTTGACGACCAGGTGGAGGAGTTCGTGCTGTTCGTGCAGGAAGAGGGTGACTGCGAGGTACCCGATCTGCTTTTCGGAGTACTTGACTGCGGAGATGAGGTTGACAGCCTCTAGATGGCCAAAGTCGACGTTGTAGCCTTGGATGTAGATATATAGCAACTTGCAGACATATTTCTTCTTCTGGTAGCCATCGAGTTTCTCGCTTTTGAACTTCTGACGAATGTTGGCCAACTCTTTGTTGATGCGCTTTTCCTCGAGTTCCCGGGCTCTTGCATTGCGAAGGTCGGCGATGAACTGGACTAGACCGCGCATAGACGACATGGTGGGAGAGACCGAGGTAGGGGCATCTGAGGCCTTTCGGACTGCGGCGATGGCACCGATTCGCAGGTGGAGGATTCAGAGAGATTGTCGAGGAGCAGTTACTGGGGCATGGCCTCGTTGGGTAGACACGTCGTGCTCATGTCAAGGCTCGAGACGACAGGAAAGTAGTGGTGTGTCGTGCGGCTGGACACGGCAGGAGTCGGTGATCGGGCGTCCAGGGATTGTTTACGGTTGGGTGTTTGAGGTGAGTGAGAGGAGTAGACGACGACGACAGAGCCAACAGGGATGGGACCGCATTTGTTGCAGGTCTGGTTAGATTCGTGTAGAAGTACTCGTACGTATATGGGATGGTCGTTAGTAGTAGGATTTGGTCTACGTGCCTTAGTACGTGAGAAGAAGAGGCGGACCAGGGTTGGTTAAGGAAAGGGGCAAGTCATCATACCAGACGCGTCGTTAGTGGCAGCCCAGATGTGTCAAAAGTGTCTATTCACGGATCGGAGATAACATCTTCCGAAGGTTGTGATAATTAGGTAGATTTCGCAAATTGCATAACGTCCCATCGTCCCATATCCCCTCCCCGTCTGTCACCAGTCACCAGTCACCAGCCACCAGTTGATCCTCCGAGTACTTATTACCGCCTGCACTCAACGGTGAACAACTGGCATCCTTACTCCAGCCTACGTGATAACTCCCATCCCAGGTCAGACCCATCCGAATGTCACTTCCCTTCCCCAAGTGCAATCATCTCATCCAATAATGCCACAGTCTCCGCAGGGCTTGCAATCCATGCGCAGCAGCAAGCACTCCGGGCCTTGAAATCATTACCTCCTCCACTCAAGAATTGATCACCCACATGTAGCGTTCGTGAAGGGGAGATGCCACCGAACCATTTCTGGCACGACTGTACTCCCAAGGATTTGTCTCCAATGTCCAGAAAGACGTCAGCACCGCCGTTGAAGACGGTAAACGGTATGTCTGCATGAATGACCTTGCCCTCTGGGTCCACGGTGTTGAGTGAGGATTCGACCACTTGTTGGACTACCAAGACTGTCTCCTCCAATTGCTCACGTGTGAGCTTCTTGGACTGGTCGGCCGCATAGATGCCCACAGCTCGTTCCTTTCGCAAGACCTTAGCTTGGAGATGCAGAGTTCGAATGCATGAGTGAAATGCCGATTCAGCAACGTCCAGCAAAGACTGGATTGCAGGCTCATTCCAGTCACTCATGGCCTCCAGGACCCACTCGCGGCGGTGAATGTACCGTAAGCAGTACTCTGCCGTGTCGTCATACACCAGTAGAAAGTTGGACTCTCCACCCATGATGATGAGATTCGTCTTTTGCTCAGGCGTGAGAGAGGTTGAAGCTTTGACGGCGAGAAGTAAGCCTGACAGCCGCTGGAAATAATTCTCTGGTTGTGTGTAGCCGGCCGCAGTCACAATGCCAATGCGGACTCCCTGGGATAAAAAATGCAACAGTCGTAGAATGACCGGGTCAGATTCTACCGAGTGTAATGAGGCCCCGTCTTCATACAAGGTCACATCACCATCAAACGTCAACAGCTCCAGGCCTGGCTTCATGTTGATCTTGAGAGACCGGTAGGGTTTCGGCTGAATCATGGCCATGATCTGAGCAGTGTTTAGAATCAATCGTATGTCGTTGAATGAAGGGGCAACAAATCGCCGCGAAGAGATTGCCCGTATTGAATCTTGTTGCTTGAAGGAATCCTCAAGTGCTAGTGGAGTGAAGAACGTTGAAATTGTTGGCACCAGCATCCTCAATTTTGATCTCGCGGTCGGAGAATCTTGATGATTGACTATATGGTCAGCCACCCGAAGGACCTGCTCTCGTAACACTTACTGTGGTCAAGAATGAGGTCTTCGACATCTCTAAAGATCTCGGCATACCTCTGTCGTGCGGACCTTGCCATTGAATTCAAACTCTGTGCGTTGCTGTCGTCATACTCTACCGCAGGTTGGGAGTTCAGAACAAATGGAACAGCCAGGAGACCTTTGATCCATTCGATCTAATCAAGTCAGTCAGCCTGGCTGGAGGGCAGTACGGAGTTTCGACTTACAAGCTGGTCACGACGATGTGTCTTGATGCCCGTAGATGTCAGCATGGCCTCTCATAACCCCTAATAATCATCTACTTGCCTTCAAAGCATCTGAGAGCGGTCAGTACTGTCGGTGAGAGGAGTAGATGGAAGACAATTGACGTACACTCCACTCTGTACCTCGTAGTCATCTTGAAGACAACTTGCTCTGCTGTGCGCCCCGATGCAGACTAGTTGAATTCCAGTCCTCTTAAATATAAGGACACGAAGCCTGATATTTACGTGGTTGATATGTGAAACGTCGGATTCTAATCATGTTCAGAAAGGACATCCTCTCGATGCCAAGAACAAACGTCGTCTTTATATCAGTCACGTGATAACGTGACCATTCACGTGATATTCAGCCACCCTACATAACTGAAGCTCTAGTCAGCTTTACCCTAAACTCCGTACAGAGAATAAGGGTGTTTGACACAGGTTTTCGACTTCTCTAGACTGCAAGGAGCGAACTTCCTGTGGCTGTCATTTACCTTTTGAGCCATAGTTGATGATTCGGCACGTCTACTCGAATACGTCCACCTACACTTTCTCCAGCTTCTCGTCATATGTTATACCTGCCAGCGATCTGGCCTTATCCAGCCATTCCAATACCCTCAAACTCTCCTCGGCCCCTATCACGCCCGGCTGCTTGTTGAATACTGCCGCCGCAATGACATCCGCCTGATACCATATTCCCCATCCATTGACAGGTTTCTTGATGATTTCGTTCTTTTCCGTGCCATCCTCATTCAAATGGGCATCTCCGTACCACTGTACATGCAACTCTTCCGGCCGAATCGGTGGGAAAGGAATTGCCACCGATGCCTCTGTGGCTTCAATCCTGACAGAAGGGGCCGCTTTCTGAGCACCAAGGCGGACGTAGAATGGAGGCTTGCTCGATCCAGGAACAGTCATGCTGGTCGTGATGATAGCCGTGGCGCCTTTGTTCGCAAGTACGACAGTGTTAATGTCGTCAACCCCGCCGGGCCTTCCAGGGACGCTCCAAGAACTGGAGTGCACCACGTTGGTTTCCCCAACCTCGATTCCGTTCAGTGCAAGATCCGCCCATGTCAGTGCATAAACCCCTTGGTCCAGTAGAGCACCCGCTCCAGCTGCCTTATCCAGAAATCGAGACGTATCTGAGAGGTCCGGTCCGACGATGGGGAATGAGAAATCAGAGTACACCCTCCTGACTTTGCCAATCTTCGGCAAGAGCTCTTCTATCAGGTACCTCGTTGCAGGCAGATAGCGTGTCCACATCGCTTCCATGAGCACAACACCCTGCTGATTCGCAAGTTGCGTGCATTTTCGGTATTGCGCAGCATTCATGGTTGCTGGCTTCTCAACCAGGATATTCCGTTTACATTCGAGGGCTTTTAATATCTCTTCATAATGCAACGGATGCGGTGTTGAGATATACACCACGTCAAAGTTGCCTTGCTCCAGCATAGTCTGCCATGAGTTGTAGATGGCTATCGACTGAGGATCCGGGATCTTGTTGTCCTCGAACCATTTCTGGGCTCGTTCAACTGAGCCCGTCGTACTGATTGCGACCAGCTTGTGTTCATACTGTGCATCTTCGCGACCGAGTAGATCGGGGAGGAAGACTGAGGCAATGTTGGATAGCGAAAGTGCCGCCCAACGGCATGTCTGTTTTTTCTCCATTAAGATGAAAGGCCTGAAGACGTGAGAATCGTTGTGATGGCTCGTCCAGACGGGAAGAAAATCGTGGTCACGGCTTGTCTGCTTTCAGATCTGACAACGAGATGCTTGCTCGCACCTTGAAATACTTTGATAATACGCCAAGTTCTCGCCCGAGGGGATGTCATTAGTATTCAGCCTAGAAAAAGACGAGACTTACGGGGAGTGCCAGTTTTTTCCCTCTGATGCCCCATGGTGGCGACTCCACAGTCGATTATATCACACGCATACCAGATGGTTCCTATTTGTTGGACAGAAGTCCTCCTCTCCGCCCTTCCATCACCTTGGCTTTCACGGCCAGTTGGCGACTGAAATTCAGCCATTTAGCCATTTAGCCATTGATTCGACAACCCGGCAGTCAAGTCATCTTCTCGCCCGCTTTTCCGCTTCGTCTCCTCCTCACAGGTTTCTTGCGCTGCAAACCGCCTGCGTGACCGGTCGGTGTATCAAACTAAACCCCACGGTGGGCACTCCCAAGATTGTGGGTTATGTGGGAGACTCGTGGAGAGCTGAAAGTCTGGTCTACCATGCGAGATCTGGGGAGAAGTTCACCGCCGCTGTTACTCGGGCAAACGTCGTATCACGAGTCCATACGCAATGTGGCCTTGAATAGATTTTCCATCGAGAATGATTCTTGACAGCTCTAGCGTGGAGGATGTCACGCTCGTCTCAGTACGTTCAGTCCACAAGCAGACCTCTACGCGCCATTAATTCCAATGATTTCTTGCACCTGAACACGAATTCATACGGCTTCAAGATAGTACTGTTCTGGGTGATTATTTGCCAATTCGAGATCGGGAACTGCCAACTATGATTCAATTCAAGACTGCAGGATGTTTCCAAGAAGTGGCACCTCCGTCAAGCAGCAGATCCTGTCCTGTATACCAACCGCTGGCTTTGGAGGAGCATAGCCACAACATCGCGCCCTTCAACTCTTCCGGCAACCCGATCCTCCCAAACAAGGTCTCTTTCTCAAACTGCTTAACCAGATCCGGCTGCTCGGACTGCAAGCCCCTCATCATGTCCGTCATCGTATAGCCGGGGCTGAGACTGTTGACTCGAATTCCGTGTCGGGACAGCTCCATTGCCACTGGCTTCACGAGTCCCTTGATGGCAGCTTTAGACGCCGTGTAGCATGAGATCTGCTGCGCGGTGCTGGCAATGTAGGTGGCGATACTGGCGATGAAAACGATACTCCCGGTTGTGGCGTCCTTTGCAGGTGTGTCGCCATGCTGTGCTTTGTACCGTTCGACCATAGTGCTTGCGCAGGCTTGCGCCACAAGGAAGGAGCCATTGACGTTGACCGCGAAAGTTCGCTGGAGATTCTTGTCTGAGGTTGTCAAGAAGGGTTCGTCGGTCACAACGCCAGCGGCGTTGATATTGATATCAATCCTGCCGAAGTCTTGGATGATCTGCGAGACCGTAGTGATAACCTCGTCGCGGACAGTGATATCAACGATATAGTACTTGACTTTGATGTTATGTTGTGATTGCAATTCGTATAATTCCGGTGACGGTTTGGGAAGGATGTCCAACACGGCGACATTGCATCCTGCTGATGCAAGTGCTTCTGCGAACG